GAGTGCTTCAATGCTTCAAACAATGGCTAAAATCAAAGAGAGAGCACCGTTGACATGAGCCATAAAATTGCAGGCAGAAGATGTGTTTTTGGCTTGATGCATCATGCCGTCTCCGCGTGAAGACAGGCCTGGCGTACTTAGCAGGATCCGCTATAAACCTGCAGGAATAAAGAGAACTTGCTCCTCTTGGACTTGCATGCTAATTACTGCATTTGTCATGATCAGGAATCAAAGCGACGCACAGGCGACCGGAGCGCTCGAGTTTCCTCGCTCGTCCTCCGAGGATCGTCATGTTCATTAGTCTTCTTTAGATCTCCCCGCAGGCACTTGAAGAGAAGTGCGAGGCTTCGAGTGCTGAGTAAAGTGTTATACGGTGTGCTGGGAGGGTATGAAAAATGGATTTCTGGAAATAAATCCAGCACGTGAATGACGTCCCACACACACAATGCCTTCTCAAAACATCTCGTCACTGAAACGCATTACGAACGCTTTCAAAATACCGTTAGCAGAGAAATGAAAATGCCATTTGAAACGAACATGGATCGAAATTACATTTTTTAAAACCTTTTCAGAGTCTGACAGCGTTATTAAAAGAATAGTTCACCAAGAAATTAACATTCTGTCATCTTTTACTCATCCTTGCATTGATGAACCTCTATGATATTTTGTGGAAAGTCTCAAAACCCCCTAACTGGCTTCTAAAGCTGCATCATAACCAAAAATAAACACATTTTTATCCTATATGCATCATACAAATCGTGAAGTGCATGGGAGACCCTACTCACATTTGGGGGGAAATCATCAGTAGATAACTTAAATTTCACTTTTCCTCACACAAAACCATTGCATGGCTTCAGAATCATTGGATCTAGCATTCATGGACTGCTATATAGTGTTTGCCTAGCCTGGGAAAACCCAAAAAACTTCCGGCAAATTTAGATTTGCTCTGAAAGTTAGTCTGGCAAAGAGCTCATTCAAGCCCATTTCCAATCCGTCGAAATCGAGGCACCAATCAGAAACGTTGGGGCGGGCTTTACACGATGACGACAGCGCTGGGATTTTGAACATGATTTTGTAGCCTACATTACAAAGATGGATGCCGCCGTCGAACATCACTCGTTCCAATCAGCTATCGCGTCTGTTTTAAGCCATTTGAACGTTTCCTTTTTGTTAAAAACCGAGGAAAGAACAACACTCGGACGCTCTGCATACGTCATCTCCTTCATCGCTCTGATTGGGTTTAGGTCTATCCGCGACGTCCGTTGGTGACGCCCCTCTGGAAATGATTTGTCTATGACGCTTTGCCAGACCATAACTCAGTTACAGGGTTCTCAAGTCTCACGCATTGGCCGTGAGACACGCAATTCAACCAGTTCACACGCCACACCATGTATTTCTCACGCTGAAAAGGCAATGCCAACCAAGTTGTCCTGCAAGCTTTATATAACGTATACGAGGCACAGGCACACAAAGTGAAGTTTCCTGCCGCCAGCGCGTCCGTATCTCGGCCAGATTGCGTTCGTTACTACTAGGCAACATAGATGCGCGAGAGCGAACACACGGAAGTTGACGGAACATTCTCGGCCACCACGCGAACAGGAACAAACGCACACACATTCTCGGCCACCGTACGTTCGTTACTAGGTAACAGGGATGGAAATTAACTTTTTTGTCCACCGGCCACTGTGGCTGGTGGATTTCAAAATCTACCAGCCACTCAATGTTTTTACCAGCCACTTTCTTGTTTTTAACCGACAATGTGTAACTGCATGTGAAAATTAATACTACAAGAATACTTAAGCAGTTTATTTAATCTCAAGTCTCAATGAAATACTGACATTTTCTCTTTCTCTCACCCATTTATTTTTGTTTTGATGATAAATTGAGCCAGCCTCCAAAAGTAATTAACCTGTCCTGTGATTTTTTTTTCTCTCTCACACAACTCTCTCCAGACACGGATTTATGAGCTATAGTATGTTGGTTGCCTTTACATTAGAATAATATTTAATATAATCTAGATATGAAATGGAATAAATAGCATTCAATACAAAATGAATATGTCTCATATATTGAAATCAAGTTTTATGTGATAAAATATTTGCTTTGTTGTGCATTAGAACCACATCAGGCATTTAGTACAAAATAATTTATTGAAGCATCCAGATACTTCACCACGTGACAGCAGCTAGGCTCCTGATTGGTTAACGCGGCGGGAATTGACGCCAAAGTTCAGATTTTTCAACTCGGGCGGCAGACGCGAATTCGCAATGCACAAAAGCACTCAATAAAATCATGCGCGCGGAACGCGTCAGACGCTCGAACTTGCCGCGCGAATGAGGCGTATTCGCATCTACCACGCCGCGCTCTACACCTCATTCGCGCCGCAGGAATTTTTTACGTTCGTAACGCGTCTTTGCATTGACTTAACAATGAAATCACTCGCGCCAGACGCTCTATTCTCGTCTGGTGTGAACGCACCATGATGTTTTCTCTGCAGACCTCTACGCCTGCGATGTAACGCCACATTTTTGTTTGAAGGTGTGCCTCCTCTAAAAGTGTCCGCCGTCCGGGTGATACAGTATGCTATTTTTATTTACCCGCCACGGTGGCCGGTAGGTGAAGCGAGTTTACCCGCCACAACACAAAATCACCCGCATTTGGCTGGTGGCGGGTGCTAATTTCCATCCCTGCTAGGTAACCAACAATATCGCGCGAACACACGTCGTGATCATAGGCAGTCCTTTTATATAAATAGTCTCTGTCATAGGCCATGATGGAGAAGGTAAGTTGGAAGAAAGCTTATCTAACATTTTTAGGCTAGAACATTTAATATATAGCCCATCGTATAGGCTACATTATTTTTGGTGCAGTCAAAAACTCTACAACTACTTTGCAACCAGGCCAGAAGCTTTGGCTAAGGGAAATGTCAGTGGCTATGGGAAGGAATGAAGATGCATTTCTACATTTTATTTTAAATTATATATTATACTGTATTAATAGTCTTTCTAGTTACATTAAGGCTACATGTATTAAAGCAGAGTGCTGTGGGTAATATTTTATATCCTGTCAAAACATACATTAATCATTGCCATTGCATTTGTATTTTTCAAAGATTTCAGGGAAAAATGCAAAAAGAATTGTTTTTCCAAACTGTTTGGAGCAATTTGTTATATTTTTGTGATTTTGAAATATAACATTAAAGAGTATATTTGATGTGATGAATTGCTCTGTCATTTATCAGATTTACCAATTGTTATAATTTCAATTTGTGCTGGTTGATTATGAACAATGGGTAAAATTGGGGGGCGGGGCTCCAATGGGGCCCCTCCCCTTGGGCTCCTCCCCTAACCTCATGTGATCTCACTCCAAGCTTTTGATAAAACTTGAGAACCCTGCAGTTACAAGTCAAAACCGGAATATTCCATCCACAGTGTTATTTTTTTTTTTTTTCAGTGATGCTCTAAAAAACACAACAAAATAAAAAAAAGCTGGATGATTGGCTGAATCTGATTTGGCTCCATGTTGGGATAAAATACAACCTGTCTCCTGTCAGGGAACTGACCTTCCTCTGAAACTGAACACACCGACTCCTACATGCAGATGTTCACCATTATCGTTTGAGAGACAGCGAGACAAAGCCAAGCATTTCCCTCTCCGCAAGCATTACTGTTTGTTCATTACTGGACCGCCACACCTGTCGCCTTTCCACACGGATCAAGCCACGGCACGGATTTATGGACGAAAGTTCACAAGAAAGTCCACGTCTGCTGACTTATGAGCTTTTGACAAATGTGACTCATACAGGAATGTCAGAAAGTGAAATTGATGGCAGCGGCATTTCATAACGCACACAGAACCTCCTGGAAACCAGCGCTTGTTTCAAAACACCGTTTATATTGGCTTTTTATAGGCACTTTTGTTTTGTTTTTAAAAGAGGTAAATTGTAGATTTGGTGATTAGTGACTGCAAATATGACTCACTTTTACCGTCTCGTGGACCAAAACAAGCAAAGTCCAGATAATTGGTGTGCATGCGTTTTTTTTCTCTCTCAACACAATCCATTAAAGCAATAGTTCACACTCGAAATGATCAATTTGTCATATAAACTCACTCTCATTGTGAATGCCATTGAAATGTCTGAGCTTGGTTTCTTCTTTCCAGCACTGTTGACGTTTAACGGCAAACGTCATTGGTTCTCAAGTGTCACATGATTGCAAATTTGAAAATACTTTGAATTTTTTACTTTTATGATACTTTTAAGTTTTTTTGTTTTTTGGCCATTTAACCTTGGTTTACCGGCTTCATATTTTTGTTGAAATGTCGCACATTTTTTTATTTTATGAGTCGAAAGTTTCATAGAACAGCATTTATTAGAAACAGAATCTTTTGTAACATTGTCAGTGTCTTTACTGTCAATTTTGATTAATGTAATGCATCCTTGCTGAATAAAAGTATTAATTAAAATCTTTTGAAAGTTAGTGTGTGTGTGCACATGTTGTATACACATGTCTGTTCTTAAGTGAATTCATTTTTTTCAAACAAGCAAGTTAAGAAAGCAGGATTGTTTATTTGAAACTGTTTATCGGTTTTCACATTGCAAGAAGAGACAGACAAGCTTTGTGGCCCCAGTAGCTCATGTAATATTCATGAGATGTTTCCAGGGACGACTTCAGGTGGAAAGCCCGTTAACTCACCCCCACATACACACACGCAAACACACTACTACAAATTTACATATTCATCTGTTTTGCAAACATCTCACTATATGTCTTAACCTTGCTTTGACATGAATCAGCAGCATTTTACTTCGGAAATCACCAGATCTTTACCCTACATTCTACTGTACACACACACACCTCTAACACACACACACACACACACACCTCTAACACACACACACCTCTAACACACACACCTCTAACACACACACACACACACACACCTCTTAACACACACACACACACACACACACACACACACACAGACAGACACACACACACCTCTAACACACACACACCTCTAACACACACACACACACACCTCTAACACACCACTAACACACACACCTCTAAGACACAAACACACTCACACACACCTCTAAGACACACACACACACACACACACGCACGCATGCATGCACACACTCACACACACACATACACACGCACGCACCTCTAACACATACACACACACACACACACACACCTCTAACACACACACACACACACACACACACACACACACACACACACACACACACACACACACACACACACACACACACACACACACACACACACCTCTAACACACCTCTAACACACCCCTAACACACACACACACACACACACACACACACACACACACACACACACACACACACACACACACACGCACACACACACACACACACCTCTAACACACCACTAACACACACACACCTCTAAGACACAAACACACTCACACACACCTCTAAGACACACACACACACACACACACACGCACGCACGCATGCACGCACACAATCACACACACACACACACACACGCACGCACCTCTAACACACACACACACACACAGACACACACACCTCTAACACACACACACACACGCACGCATGCATGCACACACTCACACACACACACACACACACACACACACACACACACACACACACACACACACACGCACGCACCTCTAACACACACACACACACACACACACACACACACACACACACACACACACACACACACACAGACAGACACACACCTCTAACACACACACACACACACACACACACACACAGGTACGACAGGGCTTAATTTGCATTGGAAAAAGCTGGATCTGGATAATCTGGGATTGGACTGTGATAAATTTTAGCACCAGTGACCATTTTTTGGAGAGTCTTTAAAGTGTGAAATGGACTTTCTCTGTGTTTGACGTCAGCAGCCAATCAGAATTAACATGACATCGTTTTCCTGCTCTAGCATGATCAGTCACATGGTTATTTACAGCTTAGGTGATTGGCTAAAACTTCTAAAGTCCAAAACCTGCTAAATCCATGACCAGTTTCTTAATCTGTGGTTTTTAATAGACCCTTTTCGGTTTCTTTTATACATTTTAAAACAATCGAATGTACATTTATTATAACAATACACTTTGTTATATTACCTTGGCATTAAATGACTGGTTAGTAAACTGGTTAACTAGTAAACACAACTACTGTGGAAATGATGACTTCTTTCTCTCTTCTGACCAACGTAATCAAACTCTTGATATTCTTTTCACCTCTTTTTTAGTCACAGATACACTATTTTCTTTTGCTATTGGAGCAAATAAGAACATAAAAATGATACTTTCCATAGTACTTTTATAATCCTCCTGGAAATGTGAAATGTGTCCATTGACAATTGAAGCCCTGCTGACCTGGTTACAGTAAAACAACAGCTGAACAGGAAGAGATCTAGTCATTAAAAGCACTGAAATCAACAACAGAAAGGCTTAAAGTGCAAAACAGCAGAGAAATACAACATTTCATCCCCCTATAATAAACATCTATGCGTTCCCAAACTCACCTTAAATTTACAAATCAGTCTTGTACTTGCAAGCGATGATGATAGTGATGATGATGATGATGATGAATTATCATCAAAAATCAAATCGTCACCGGTACATTTATAGCTTAACGTCAGTGTGTCATATGTAAATGACGATGCATAGTTACCTGGTTTGTTTTGTTTTTAAATTATTGCGATACTGCGCATTAGATCCGGGCTAACCCAGTGTGAGGTCATGGGGGAGGGGTTAATGATCAGATCCGCCAAAGGTCAGAGGTCAAAGGTCAATAAGGGGCAAACAGCACAGGTGTGTGCGCAGTCCTGATTGGCCCAGGAGCAGGGCGGAGCAGCTGAGTCTGAAAGAGGGCGGGGTTAAGGGAAGGAAAGGCGGAGCTTATGGCGGCGGCGACGGTTGCCAGGTGAGACGGCATTAATCTGGTGCTCAGCGGCGGGCAGAGATCTTTACCGACTGACATCTTCACCTGCTGGAGAGAGAATCTGTAATTAGATATTATACACTACCGGTCAAAAGTTTAAAATACATTGTAATCAATTATTGTTGCCGTTCAATTATTCATTCAATTTAATTCACATTTATTTGTATAGTGCTTTTCACTATAGAGAGCCTAAGCCCCTCCCCTCCGCTTCCGGACCTTATTTCGGAAAAAATATGAATGGCGAGAGACAACTTATCTTTTTATTCCGGCGTCTGAACTGTGCCCTGAATTACACATATGATGTTTGTCAATTTAAAAGATAATTATGAAAGTCAAGAAACGCGCAGTTTGTCATAAAACAGAAGAGTGACATTTAGTTTTATGTGAAAATCGCTCGATGAACTACAACTCCCGGGAAGCGAAACAACGAGCGAGATCCGCTGCTCGTGTGTGTGCAGTCTGGTACAAAACACTCGATGATGGCGTAACGTTACGATTATAACGTAAGACTAGAGAAACAATGACAGACGTTAGCTTCAGTAGAGTTAGCTTCAGTAGAGTTAGCTTCAGTAGAGTTAGCTTCAGTAGAGTTAGCTTCAGTAGAGTTAGCTTCAGTAGAGTTAGCTTCAGTAGAGTTAGCTTCAGTAGAGTTAGCTTCATTCACTGAGAGGAAATGTGCGCCTTTGGGGTTTGTAGTCTTTGCGTATTTTCACAGTCTTATACCTCAACAGTTTTACATCAAACTGTGAATTTCTTGACTTCAAAATGTATCTTTTAAATTGACAAACATCATATGTGTAATTCAGGGCACAATTCAGACGAGATCAAAATATTTGTTGTCTCTCGCCATTGACGAGATGGTCCTCACTGCAGAACATGAAATCCACGGGGAGGAGTCGGATCCAGATCCAACTCCTCCCACCTTACATATACCTAAACCTACCCATCTCCGCCCCCTGATCCCTAAACACACCCCTAATCCCTAAACCCACCCCTAATCCTACCCATCTCCACCCCTCGGATCTTGATCCGACTCCTCCCCGTGGATCTTATGTACTGCATTGAGGTGCTACTGCCATTGACTACCATACAATATTTTCCCGAATTAAGGTCCCATGGTGGTCGACCGAAAGGGGAGGGGCTTAGAATTTAGGCCACGCCCACCATGGGGAAATCCATCCAACCGTCTCCATTGACTTTGTATTGCCTGAAGCTGCCTCCTCGTCATTTACGACTTATAACAAAAAACAAAACAATGTCTAAAAGCTGCTATGTGACAAGATGTACAGCAAACAAGCTAAAAAACCCAGAAATAAGTTTTTATAAGCTGTCGAGCCCAAAAAACGAGCGTTTAATGAGACGAAAGTGGATACAGGCAATTGAGACAGAGCACAACGTGTCGTATTACTCTGAGAACTAACTTACGCCGCTGGAGGGGAACAGGGATATCTTAGCTTACAGAAATATAATATATAAAACTGATTTTGATATTTGACTTACCAGTGACAAAATGTTTACTGCACATGTAGTGTATTTTTATACTGAGTGTCAGGATCTCACAATTTACCCATTCTTGCAACTGTTGCTTCACATCTTATTGCCTGTATCCACTTTCGTCTTTCGTTTTTTTGGGGTCGAAAGCTTATAAAAACGTATTTTTGTTTTTTTTTAGCTTGTTTGCTCTACACATTGTCACATAGCAGCTTTTAGATATTGTTTAGTTTTTTTGTTATAAGTCATAAATGACAAGGAGGCAGCTTCAGTCAATACAAAGTCAATGGAGACGAGAGTTAGCTAATATTGTATTAATTTAAACAATGTATTAATTTAAGGCAAAAGTAATGAATACTTGTTTGTTAACAAAAGATTAGGATATACAGAAAAGTGTAGCATTGGGGCATATTGGTTCAGAGCTTGCTTTCTCTAAAGTCTTTAATCATTGTTATCTGAACATACAATATATATCGAAAGAAAGAACAAGATTGAAAGGATTTGGAGAGAGGGGAAGTCAGATACATGTTTACAGTGTTTAGAGTTTGTTGAGGTTTAATTTAATTTACCAGTATTAACATTATTTTTGAATCTAATAATAAAATGCGACTTATATGCAACTTATCAGTGTTTTTTCTCTCAACAACGCAAGTTTGACCAGGTTTTTCTGGAATTTTCTGGAAAATACGGTAAATAGGCTTGATAAAATTGAGCTGTAGCCTATTATTAAAAAGTAGGTTTACAATGGGGACCGTTTGCACCAATGAAACCAATGCATTTTATGCCCATTACTCTCACCTACACACTCTAGAAAATGCTGGGTTGTTTCAACCCAAATTTGGGTCAAATATGGACAAACCCAAATGTTGGGTTAAAAATGTAATAAAAATGTTTACAGTTGAAAGTGAAAGTTGAAGTTGGGTTAAAATTTTAAATTACATTTTTAACCCAACATTTGGGTTTGTCCATATTTGACCCAAATTTGGGTTGAAACAACCCAGCATTGTTTAGAGTGCATTAACTTTGGGTTTAATCACGGTTATAATTATGAAGGGGGTCCTTGGAAAACCCGGGGTCCCTGACTCCAAAACGTTTGAAAACCCCTGATCTAAGCGATACTTCACTATGTTCATGTTGATCCAAACTCGTATGCGGTTGTTCTTTTCAGTGGAACACAAAACTGTTTTAATACAACAGATCACAGTGACCACAACAGTAGTGGAGTAATGCACAAGCCATGTGACAGATCTGTGTGAGCAAGAGACTGGAAATCTTTGAAATATCATTTGTTCACATTGAGCTTAACAGATGCTGCTGTTGCATGGAACAAATGGGAAAAACATAACAGCATATGGGTTTGGAACGACATGAGGGCGAGTAAACAATGACAAAACTTTCACTTTTGGGTGAACTATAGCTTTAATAAATGGCCTTGATGTGTACCATTCATCAGGACGTGTTATTCGAAAGGAGAAATTTGTTTTGATAATCGTTCATCAATATGTAATGACTTCCTCTGCCTCTGAAATGTCTAATTCTGCTGACGTACTCCAGGAAAAGACCATATTAATCACCGTTCACGGCGTTCAGCAAAATTCAGGATAAATATTAAACTGTTGTCTTGAGCAGCAAGTTTAACATATTAGAGGGCTTTCTGAAGGATCATGTGACACTGAAGACTGGAGTAATGATGCTCAAAATTCAGCTTTTTTTTTACATTTTAAAATATATTCAAATAGAAAACTGTTATTTTAAATTGTAATAACATTCCACAATATTACTGTTTTTATTTGATCAAATAAAAAATTGGCTTGGTGAGCAGAAGTGACTCGTTTCAAAAATATTAAAAATCTTACTGACGCATGCTAGTTTATATTATATTGTAATATTATATATTTAAAAATGACTTATTATACCAAAAAATAAGATTAACCACCATCACACTATCCAAACATCTTCATTTTTTCCCAGTTTCACTCAGAAATGTGCCACATTACCAACGTTAAATGTGTTTCGTCTTTATTAAACATGGCATCAATCCATCATGCAACATCTGATTGTGAAACAGTCTGGACTGGCACTATTAAAGCTGGATAATATTTGCATCACAAAACAGAACGGCCTTCATTGTCTGGCCACTGCCAGTGAGATTAATGGGAATGCTAACACATATTAAAGATATTAGCAACTTTTACTCTCTGCTAGACTGCATTTTTAAATAATTATAGATACTGTTTACTCCAATACATTTGTGATGAGTAATGATTGTTACAATTTGCACGGCACCTAATTTTTCATCTCCAGTGCATTGAAGCTACTATACCTTGTGTGTTTTGCCCTTACTCACCCAAATCTACTTTCTGAAAATATAAATGCATTAGCAGGTAGTTGTTAACCGTGTAAAAGGTGTTTATATGAGGCCGAAACCAGCCCGTCCAGTGCAAGCGGGCTCTGACAATTTAATTTTAACATTATTTTATGGCAGTGGCTATTTGCAAACAGCAGTGAAAATAGCAACTATTTTTTTTGCAATAAATAGTTGTTAGATGCTATTTATACTGATAAATAGGGGCAGATACTATTCGCACCTCAGTGTTGTTGTACATTAAATGGTATGCAATGAGTGTAAATTATTAAATGTATTAAAATTATTAAATGGATGCCACCGTATTGGGACAACACCTAACCCATAAACACTTTATTATTAAACACACGTTAGACACTTTATTTCCACTTTTCGAATATTTTATTAAGTTTCTTTAAATGCCTTTCTGATCTGATATGTGATGGGAAAAGAGAGTAGAGAGTTCGCCAAAATGCGGATTCGAACAAAACTTTATGCCACGTGCATTATTGCTACTGTTGACGATCCAGCGGCGTCCGTAATTTTGTCTGGCCCAATCAGACGTCAGTGGGCGGAGTTAAAGGGGTCATGAACTGGCTTTTTAAATTGTTTTATATTGTTGTCTGAGGTCAACTTATGACATTCGCTTGGTTTTTACATTCAAAAACATCAAAATGAATAAGTAATAGGCTATTTTCTACACTAGTTTTGAGCCTAGCTCAAAAACGCTCGGTTTTTATGGGCGTCTCGCATTGAAGACTTGGAAGTAAACGCCCACTGCTGTGAGTGGATAACAGTTTTGCATATTATAATGAGTCTCGTGTAATGCGCGAATCGGTGGGCGGGGCTAAACCGGCCGTGTTGAAGTAGGCGTTGATCTTCTTCTGCGGGGGTGGTGTTTTATCCTCTTTGTCCTCATAGTTCCCCACTTTGAAAAACGAGTCGTTTGCTGAGCCTGGTGTCAATAAAAGCTTGTATTGGACTAACAAGGACGTTTTCAGTTCTGAAACTTACAGGATATTCTTATAATTTGATGACCTCTTAGATGTCAAAAGCTCAAGGAAAATTTGATTTCTCAGTTCATCACCCCTTTAATGTAAATAGCCTAGGCTTAGTGTGAATAGACACTTATTTAATTTATCTGTTATGTAAGGGTTAATGCCCTTCGAGGTGTCCGTTGTAAGGTTTTAATGGACGACGGCGAGGTGTAAACCGGCCGACGCGCAGCGGAGGACGGTTGCCTCCGCCGAAGTCCATTAAAACCTTACAACGGACACCTCGAAGGGCATTAACCCGCTTATACCATGGTCACTTGCCAAATAAAACATTTTTAAAACATTAGTTTATATTTTAATTAGGCTAAATCTAGTTTTTTAAAATAATAACTTGCCTGACGATTTATTTAGCAACTTGAGATATATAGTCCGCTCAACTTGTAGAACCCTTCAGGTTCAAAAATGCATTTTTTTTTCATGAAACACAAAGGTAGGCATAGTTATTTTTTTATTACACATAAAACACTATGTGTTACACGAGTCTACACTAACCACAGCCTCCGAAGCACCGCTGTAGGTCGACTCTCCGATGCTGGACTGGAGAGCCGTCAAATAATGTCGGTGACAGCCAGGCCATCGATGCGAGAGCAGTCTGCGGGCTTGCTCCGTCAGTCCGTGAGAGACTGAAGATGAAATAACGAAGTCGCTCATTGTTGTATTAGTAGGCTATGTAATATCTAACTGACGTTAGATGTTTGTTTTGATAGAGCAAATTGTTAACGGATACTTTGACTGCCTGTTGCTATGGTTACTCAGTCACAGCTGTTGTAGGCAGCGCATTTATTTATTAATTTCGAACGGTAAACAGGCAGTTTCACCAGAACTCCTTTACTAGGTGTCCTCTATCACTTTTTAACGGACACCCTGCAGCCAATCAGAATCGAGTATTCACCCAGACCATGGTATAACTTGGTTTATCAGTGGCCTTTTTGAGCACTTAACTGAGACTTAAGTGTTTGTGAGCGCTTAATAGGCTGGTGTGTCTAAGAGGGGTTTGGTTTTATTTTGATTTTAGAAAATAAATGTGATTGCTCTCCTCACAAATAAGCGGTTTCTTGTTTTTCACTAACATTGAGAACTAGTGCATCTTTGAGCCTACGTTCAGTATGAGTAAAATACTTAAGTAGCTTACTGTTAAAAACAGATACTCTAACCCTAACCCTAAGACTCAAGTGGAATTGGAATTGGTGATTTATGTAATGGAGTCATTTTCGCAGTAGGACATCTCTACTTGACTTAAAGTCCTAAGGTGAAAATCAAGTTTTTAATATTGTTTCTATGTCTATGTGGTGTTTTTTAATATGCTTTAAGACACACCATGTGTAAGTTCATAAGTCGACAGCATTGCTGAGTATTTTCTCCTTAAAACTGCAGTGAACCAAAGACAGTCTCAAAAACACGGTTTGAAATCGCTGGTGTTTCTGACGTCACAAACGACCTTGTAACCAATCAGATCAACGTGTGATCGCCAACCAGTGGATCTCTGAGCTGAGGGAGTGAGTGGAGGCGGGGCTCATTTGCATATTCATAGAACCGCGTATACTAAATGAGGCAAGGGTGTCGAATTTACATACAAACTATTTTAAGGCATGAAGAAATAAAATATGTAAAAATTTAAATATGTAATTTGGGTGATCAAAGATGAGTTTTAAAGGGATGGGCAACATTAAGAGTGGATTTCAGGTACTCTTTACACCTCTGGGCCGCTCAAACAAACAGATTGCAGCTGCATTTACAGCCGGCTGTGGTAGAAAGCATGAACCTACGGTCTGTTTGGTGGGTCCTCTTTGGGTTTTGGTGTACGGACTGAACTTGGGTTTGGCTGGTTTGCCCGCCGCTCTGTCTTTATGGCGTCTGCTGCTGATATGCTGATGAGCAAAACACAGAAAGTGACACAGATGTGATGAGCTGACAGACACAGGTCACAGATTGTCTGACAACGCTTAATGTAACTTTTCAGACCAAATTAAAACACCATTTTCACTGCAGACTTTTGAATGAATTAAACAAAATCAAAATTCTCTATCATTTTTTTTCTGTGCAAAACAACTCATCAACCAATGAGATTCAAGACTTTGAGTATCACTAGCAGTAGACAGCCATTATTATTATTATTATTATTATTATTAATTATTTATTTTATACATTTTTACCCAACAACCATAAAATATATAACATTATTAATCAAAAATTCAACCAACCACATATACATTATTAAAAAACCCAAAAATATTATATATAAATACACTGCCTTTACATTTTTTTATGTTTTTAAAAGAAGTCTCTTATGCTCACGAAGGCTTCATTTATTTGATTAATATATATATATATATATATATATATATATATATATACACATATATATATATATTGTAATATTATGAAATATTATTAAATTTTAAAATGTAATTTATTCCTGTGATTAAAGCTGAATTTTCAGCATCATTCCTCCAGTCTTCAGTGTCACATGATCCTTCAGAAATCACTCTAATATGATGCTTTGCTGAGCAAGAAACATTTATTATCATTAGTTTCAGGATTCTTTGATGAATAGAAAGTTCAAAAGAACAGCATTTATTTGAAATAGTAAGCTTTTGTAACATTATAGACTAAAATTCAAAAGTTTGGGGTCAGTATCTATTTTTTTTTGGGGGGGGGGATAAAATAAATTAATACTTTTATTCAGAAAGGATGCATTAAATTTAAGTTACAGTAAAGACATTTAAAATGTAAAAGAAAGGTACAACACAGTTTTCAACATTGATAAAAGTTTCTTGAGCATCAAATCATCATATTAGAGTGATTTCTGAAGGATCATGTGACACTGAAGACTGGAGTAATGATGCTGAAAATTCAGCTTTGATCACAGGAATAAATTACACTTTACAATATATTAAAATAGAAAACAGTTATTTTAAATTGAAATAATAGTTAACAATATTACAGTTTTTTTTTGTATTTTTAATCAAATAAATGCAGCCTTGGTGAGCAGAAGAGACTTCTTTCAAAAACTGAGATGTTGCGGATCGCAAGCGTTTGAACAGCAGTGTGTACAGTGTGTGTGTGCTACTGTACGTCTGGTTAGGACGCAGCATCACCTGTTTTAGTTGCGTCTCTGAATTGACGCGCACGTCGCAGGTTTCACAGTGAAATGTCTTGTTCTGCAGGCCTGTGTCTGCTTTAGTGGGAGTAACCAGTTTGCTCTTCAGCCCAGTCCTCGGGAAGGATTTGATGGAGCCGATCCCGCTCCGAGCCTCCAGCATGGTTTTGTGTTTGGTGCCTGAGGAACAAAACATGGCAGGTTCAAAACATTCATCATCTTAATGACACACCGCCAGCCAGAGAAAACAAAACCGCGAGCGCTGGACGGGGTCTTTACTGATGATGCATCTCATTTCCATTTTTGGCAAACATTGTTGAGTAGCTTATATCTATTAGTACTAGCAGTCAAAAAAGACACTTGACTGAATTTATGTTTCTCGTCAATCTTAAAGGGTTAGTTCACCCAAAAATGAAAATGATTTCATTAATGACTCTCCCTCATGTCGCTCCAAGCCCGTCAGACCTCCGTTCATCTTCGCAACACAGTTTAAGATATTTTAGATTTAGTCCGAGAGCTTTCTGTCCCTCCATTGTAAATGTGTGTACGGTATACTGTCCTTGTCCAGAAAGGAAATAAAGACATCATCAAAGTAGTCCATGTGACATCACTGGGTTAGTTAGAATGTTTTGAAGCATCGAAAATACATTTTGGTCCAAAAATAACACAAACTAGGACTTTATTCAGCATTGTATTGTCTTCCGGTTCTGTTGTGGATCCGCGTTCAGTGCCGCTGCTGACGTAAGACGCTGCTGACGTGTGTCTGGTGTGTGTGTGTGTGTGTGTGTGTATTCTGGTTCTGTTGTGGATCCGCGTTCAGTGCCGCTGCTGACGTAAGACGCTGCTGACGTGTGTCTGGTGTGTGTGTGTGTGTGTGTGTGTATTCTGGTTCTGTTGTGGATCCGCGTTCAGTGCCGCCGCTGACGTAAGACGCTGCTGACGTGTGTCTGGTGTGTGTGTGTGTGTGCACGTGTGTGTGTGTGTGTGTGTATTCCGGTTCTGTTGTGGATCCGCGTTCAGTGCCGCTGCTGACGTGTGTCTGGTGTGTGTGTGTGTGTGTGTGTGTATTCTGGTTCTGTTGTGGATCCGCGTTCAGTGACGCCGCTGACGTAAGACGCTGCTGACGTGTGTCCGGTGTGTGTGTGTGTGTGTGTGTGTGTGTGTCTGGTGTGTGTGTGTGTGTGTGTGTGTATTCTGGTTCTGTTGTGGATCCGCGTTCAGTGACGCCGCTGACGTAAGACGCTGCTGACGTGTGTCTGGTGTGTGTGTGTGTGTGTATTCTGGTTCTGTTGTGGATCCGCGTTCAGTGCCGCTGGTGACGTAAGACGCTGCTGACGTGTGTCTGGTGTGTGTGTGTGTGTGTGTGTATTCTGGTTCTGTTGTGGATCCGCGTTCAGCGCCGCTGCTGACGTAAGACGCTGCTTGCGAAGATTGCGTCTTACGTCAGCAGCGGCACTGAACGCGGATCCACAACAGAACCGGAAGACAATACAATGCTGAATAAAGTCCTAGTTTTTGTTATTTTTGGAGCAAAATGTATTTTCGATGCTTCAACACACTCTAACTAACCCACTGATGTCACATGGACTACTTTGATGATGTCTTTATTTCCTTTCTGGACAAGGACAGTATACCGTACATACATTTACAATGGAGGGACAGAAAGCTCTCGGACTAAATCTAAAATATCTTAAACTGTGTTGCGAAGATGAACGGAGGTCTGACGGGCTTGGAACGACATGAGGGAGAGTCATTAATGACATCATTTTCTTTTTTGGGTGAACTAACCCTTTAAAAACCTTTTAAACTAAAGGCGTTTGCTTAAATTCTTGAAATTAGATTATTATGCACATGTACTAATTTCTGCACAAAACTAATAACATTAACTGAAAAGATTGAAATAGATCCACTGGATAAAATAATGAATAATAAGCAGCCACTGTGACCGCCGGCTTTGGTTTCAGAAGTATTTTTATGATTCATTTTCTCCATAAGCATGTTTTAAAAATCTTTTAAAAGATCTAAACCATGAACCAAATCAAGCTGCTCCACATCACAACATTTCTCTGGAGCAAAAAGTGTTTCGGAACGAGAGAAATGGGATATTGCGGTAGCTGTGTCTTATTTTCTTATCAGTAAACAGTTTGAGGTCAGTAAGATGTTTTAATGCTTTTGAAAGAAGTCTCTTATGTTCACCAAGGCTGCATTTATTTGATCAAAAATACAGTGAAAACAGCAATAATGTGAAACATTATTACAGCTTAAAGTAACTCTTTTCTATGTGAATATATTGTAAAGTGTAATTTATTCCTGTGATCAAAGCTAAATATTCAGCTTCATTACTCCAGTCTTCAGTGTCACATGATCCTTCAGAAATCACTATAATATTACGATTTTATGCTCAATAAACATTTACGATAATTATCAATGTTGAAAACTGCTTCATATTTTTTTGTAAAAACATGAAAGATTTGTTTTTCAGGATTCTTTGATGAATAGAAAGTTCAAAAGAATAGCATTTATTTGAAATACAATCTTTTGTAACATTATATACATGTTTAGACTGTTTGCTGTGACTTTTGATCAATTTATTGAATCCTTGCTGAATAAAAGTATTAATTTCTTGCTAAAAAAATAAATCTTACTGACCTCAACCTTTTGAACAGTAACGTTATCCTAATGTTAGCTAATGCAACCTAATAGGCTATGTGCACAAGCGTAATTTCGAACTTCCGCTATTGTCAGAAGTCGGCATGTCAGTTTCCGGTTTACGGCTGTTCATCCGCATCCGCTATAAACGAACAAGATGAGTGCTGCTGTTGTACGAAAAAAAGAGTTGTTAAACACATCTAAGTTTCTAAGAACTGTAGGTGGATCTATCATCTAACGCCCGTTTCACACATACCCCGTTTGCAGTGCGCGGTGCAGGAGCAACGCGCGCTATAGTGCTTTCACATATGATGCGTTTGCAGTGAATAACTGATCCGCGGCTGTACCACAAACACATACTTACTTTTTTTATTTAAAATCCAGAAGTTGTGCTGCAACTTTTATTTCAAAAAAAGTAGTCAGCACGATTCTCTTTGTACACACTCTTTAAGGGATGTATGCACGTTTAAACACAATTTAAACAACGCAAGTTAGGGCTATTATTCCATGCATTACTTATATTAAGTTGCTCAAGCAAGTGGTCAAATTTACTATATTAAAATGGCAAATATTTTAAATTAAAACTTAAAATTGGCAAAAACAGCCGACTCACATGCCTTTTCTTTTGCATTTAAATTGTAATAGCCTACAATAGATCTTGCATATCACAAAGAACTTGTTTTTCCACCTCCACGAATGAGACGAGTGTTGTTCATTATGTCGCCTTAATTGTAGTTTTCCTTGATTTACCCCGGTTTTCACAGTCTTCAGATGACTGTGAAAAATAGTAGTACCGGTATATTAAATGCATTTATGGTGAGATTACTACATTTTATTTAATGAAACGCATTTATGGTGAAATTACTATATTTTCAGGTCAATCTTTGTGCATTTTGACCACGAAACATGCGGTGTCACTTTAACCCCCTGGGGTCGGCTATCGCGCCGGCGCGATAGGCAGACTTTTTTTCTTATCAGTGCAAAAGAGACTCAAAATACTCTGTTGATTTTAATCTTACATGTAAGTGTTATACATCAGTCGATCCTGTTTAGTGTATATTATTTTTCTGTATACTCACAATAAAAACAAAGTGTTGTGCTTTTTGTCAAATGAAGAAAAATAAACATGATGCGAGTTTTGCCTTCTCTCTGTCAGTGCAGTCCATTCTGAAACGCGTCCGAAAAATTAACTCTAACTCTGCAAATACTTGTCACACAGGCACGAGAGATTTTTCTTTATGAAGCTTGAATTCTCTTCTTTTCAATGAAGTAATTTATATAAAAAACAAATATTCTCAGTTTATGTAATCTGTATGAAAAGAGAGTGCTGTCAGAATTTTTTTCCCCAGCTCATTACACTTCATTACGCGTTAATCTGACACGCCCACGGAGAACGCGCGCTATTCAAACGCAAATGTAGAGGAAAGCCATGACAACGCCCACATCAGCCGTTCCACCGCGGCGGTAAAATGTGGGGTGTATTTGCTACCTTTTACCGCTAAGAGGCGCTACAATCATAGACTCTGAAAAGTGTTCGTTTATTCTCTCTAATGCGTAATCTGCTGCTCATTCAGAGCGATTGAAAGCTGGTAGCAGATGAATTCAACAAGTGAAACGTAGTTAAAATAATTCATTACCACAATACTGAAATTAGGCTGAAATACTGAAATGAAATTGAATAAATAATGAAAACATAAAACATTGCAATAAAAACATTTAGGCTACATCAATGAAGCTTTACAAAAGCATAAGACTTTAACTCTAACAGCGTACAAACGGTGGCTCAGTGATCAACGCATCAACACGAGCTTCAGGGAGCTTCAATCGACCCGAGATCGAATCTCAATGTGGCATACATGTTGTTAACCGATGTTGGCCAACAGCGTTTATATTTTACCTTCTTGATGCTTAAATAGCTAACTGTTTATAACTGTTTACTTATTTAAAGTCAAGAGTTTTGTTTAATTATCATTACAACATAAATTTGCTACATTCCAGTAGAACCGCAGCCGCTGCACAAAGGACACAAACTGATGAAGGAAGATTGTCAGCCGATTGCATCAGAAAATGAAAATGAAGAAGCTCGTCTTTAGTCTGCTAAATTATTGTGTAATGTAAAAGAACACTAAAATTACTTAAGTTTGAAACCAAGTTCGAACATTTCAAGGTTTAAATAAAGTGTTTTTTTTTATTTAAAACAGGGTTGCATCGGGTTTAGAGTTTATTTCTTTTGCGATGCAAAATAAGAAACACTAGGCTAATATTATTCTTGCGACATTTTAAATTTGTATTGCCAAATAAATGACATTAAACAATTAAAACAGTAGGCCTACAAAACGAAAATTGTCCAAAGCAACATAATTAAATTAAAACATGCGTTTTTCTTTGCCTCTCTCGCGCTGAATCTCTTTTTAACAAGTTTATTTAGTCTCCCTCGCTCTCCATATGAAAGAGGAACATTAACACCTAGGCCTATTGTCCTGCGCGCACAGCACTGAACTGTCCCCCAACCCCCCACAGGCTATCGGAGT